GGTTCAGGGGAGATTTGGGAATTCTCGAGGGGATATTGGGGGGACATAAAGGGGTCCTGAGGAGGGATAGGGGCATTCTGGAGAGGATTTGTGATCCTGGGGGGGTACGGGGGGATTTGGGGGGATATTTGGGGAGGTGTTTGAGTCCTGGGGGGTATTTTGGGGGTCCTGAGGAGTTGTGAGAGGGTTGGTGACACTACGTGGGTCCCCACAGTCATTTGCCACGTGGTGGGAATCACGTACCAGCACATCGACCGCTGGCTGCTGGCTGAGATGCTGGGGGACCTGTCAGGTGAGGGGTCCTGGGGGGGTTTGGGGAGGCCTGGAGAGGATTTTGGGGGTGCTGGGGGGAAGTTGAGTTCTGGAGGGGGCCTGGGAGGGTCTGGAGAGAGTTTGGAGAGTCCTGGAGGGGTCTTGGATGGCACTTTGGGAATCCTGTGGGGGGGTTTGGGGGGTCCTGGGAAGGTGCAAGAGTGTCTACGAGGTGCTGGTGGGATACAGGGAGGTTTTGGGGGTGTCGTTGGGGTGTTTTGGGGATCTTTAGGAAGGTGTCTGAGCCCCCTCAAACCCGCCGTGCCCCCCAGAGTCACAGCTGAGGGTGTGGATGAGCAAATACGGGTGGACAGAGCCRGAGCCGGGGCGGATCCTGATCTCCAACCAGGAGGAAAACATCAAACCCAAAAACATCGTGGAGAAGATCGACTTCGACAGTGGGTTGGGGGATCTTGGGGGGGTTTGGGGCATCCTGGAGGGGGTTGTAGGGGTTTAGGAGGACACATGGAGGTCCCATGGAAGTTTGGGGGGTCCTGGTGGGGGTTTGTGGGATCCTGAGGGGGTTTGGGGAGGGGTTGGGGGCAGTACAGGGGGGTCCTGGGGGTGTCCTGAGGAGTTTTGGATGGGTTTGGGGGTCTGGGGGGGGATGTGGGAGAGGCCCGGGGGTTTCTGAGGGTGCTTGGGAGTAGAAGGGGGTCCCAGGAGCCCCCATACTCACCTTTTTCCCTCACAGGTGTGTCCATACTCACCTTTTTCCCTCACAGGTGTGTTCATACTCACCTTTTTCCCTCACAGGTGTGTCCAGCATCATGGCCTCCTCACTCTGAGCCCCCCGGAACCGAGCCGTGGACACGGACCTCCCAATACCAACGCCCCAACCCCATCCCTCCCCAGTTTAACCAGTAAAGAGACTCCAACACGGGACTGGGCTCGTTCTTATAGGTCCCCAAAATGGTGGGGGGCGTCTGAGGGGAGGTGGGCGGGGCTTGGCTGAGGGGGCGTGGTCTGAGCTGTGCCTGAGGGCGGTGGGCGTGGCTTGGCGCGGCCCTGAGGAGCGTGCGTGAGGGCGGGTGATGGGTGTGTCGGTGGGCGTGGCCATGTGGGCGTGACCTCACCCGAGCCACGGGGCGCGTCTGAGGGCGGGGTGGGCGTGGCCTGGCGGGACAAAGGCCATGTGTGACGAGGGTGGGCGTGGCTTCGTGGGCGGAGCTCCGGTCGCGCCGGGGGGCTGGAGGGGGCGTGGCTTCCCTCGCGCCGGTGCGCGCGCGGCGCTGTGGGCGGGGCGCCGGCGCGGCGCGTGCGCAGTTCGGGTCCGGGGGGGGCGAATCGGGTCCGTGTCGGTGGCGCGTCCTCCGCCTGTCGCGACATCAGGGCGGCGATAATGGTGGATTACCACAGCGCGGGGCAGCCCCACCCGTACGGCGGCAACGGGCCCGGCCCCAATGGCGACTACATGGCCCAGGAGGACGATTGGGATCGGGATCTGCTCCTGGACCCCGCCTGGGAGAAACAGCAACGCAAGGTGGGGGGGGCTGAGGGGGGATCGTGAGGCGATTGGGAGGGGCTGAGGGGTCTCTGAGGGAATTTCAGAGTCTGAGGGGTCCCCGAGGGGGTTCCTGAGGGGTTTGAGGGGTCTCTGAGGGGTCCCACAGGCGTCAGAGCGCAGGGCAGAGGGATCTGAGAGGTTCCTGAGGGGATCCATGAGGGATCCAGAGGGATCTGAGAGGTTCCTGAGGGGATCCATGAGGGATCCAGAGGGATCTGAGAGGTTCCTGAGGGGATTCGAGTCCGAGGGGTCTCCAAGGAGTCCTGTGAGGGGTCCCGGAGGGGGCTGCGGGTGTCCCTGAGGGGGTTCGTGAGGGATCAGAGCGCGGGACAGGGAGATTTGGGGGGGCTTGGGGGGTCTGAGGGGCTCCTTGAGGAGATTGGGAGGAGCTGAGGGATCCCTGAAGGGGGTCCGAGGGTCCCTGAGGGGTCCCAGCCCGGGGCAGGGGCGTTCGAGCGGGGTCAGGACCTTTTGGGGGAGGGTCTCTGAGGGGGCTCTGAGGGTGCACTGAAGCGCCCGAGCCGGGATTTGGGGGAAATCTGGACTTTTGGGGGTCCCTGAGCGGGGTCAGGGCTGGAGGGACCCTCCCCGAATTGCGGGGAACACTTTGGGCTGTGTTTTGGGGGGCGAGAAACGACAGCGGAGGGACCCCGGGGATGAGGGGCGAACTTTGAGGGAGCTGTGTTTGGGGGATCCGGGGAGCGAACAGCCGGGTTTGGGCGAATCCCCAGGGATTTTTCCCTGGTTCCGGGGGGTCCGGAGGGTCCCCCCCGATCCCGGGTGGAGGAGTTTCCGGACGGAGAAGCGTCGGCTCCGCTCCGGGTCGGGATAAAGGGCACTGGGGAAAGGGGGATTCAGCGGGATCTAACGGGATCCAACGGGATCGGCCGCATTCCCGAGGATCGGGAACGGGGGGGACTCTCCCGGGTCAGCCCCCCCAAAAACCGGGACCCTCCGGCGTGGGAAACGCCGGGAGCTGGGAGGGGTTGGCCCGGAATTCCGAGCGGGCGCCGGAGTGTTCCGGGTTAATCATTGAGACCGGGCGGAATTCCCGGGTTTGGGGTGAATTCCCTCGGTTTGGGGTGAATTCCCTCGGTTTTAGGGTGAATTCCCTCGGTTTAGGGTGAATTCCCTCGGTTTTAGGGTGAATTCCCTCAGTTGGGGGTTTATTTCTCCGAGTTTTGGGTTTCATTCCCTGATTCTGCGTTTGCTTCCCTGAGTTTTGTGTTTAGTTCCCTTAACTTGGTTGAATTCCCTCAGTTTCGAGTTAGTTTACTTAATTTCGTGTTTAATTCCGAGTTTTTGTGTTTAATTTCTTTAACTTGGGGTTGAAAACCTCAGTTTTGGGGTGAGTTCCCTGAATGTGGGGTGAATTCCCTTAGTTTGGGGTTGGCTCCCCTCAGTTTTGGGGTGTTTAGGAGGAGCCCCCTGTTCCGGGGGGATTCTGTGGATCCCCAGCATGGAGACACCTCGGGATCGGGAATGCTGGGGTCCGTTGCCGTGGTTACCTGGGATTTTCTGGTTCTTCTAAGAAAAATTCGGATTATTTTGGGCACAGGAAGCACAGGACGAACTTCCTCCTCCTCTTCCTCCTTCTCTTCCTCCTCCTCTTCCTCCTCCACTTCCTCCCATTCCTGGCACTTCCCACTCCTATCCCACCGTTTCCCCCTGCTTCCCACAGCGTCTTCGTTCAGAATTTATATTTTTGCTTGGATTTATCAGGACTTGGGGTGTTTTGATGCTAAAAACGGGGTTTTCCCCCCAGCTGGATTCTGGGGGTTCCAGAGGAGCCGGGGCTGGACTGACACCGGCATTCCCAGCCGGAATGCCGATGGACGGATGAGCTCTGTGTGGCCTCATTAACACCAGGAGTTAATTAGGTGGTTAATTAGCAGGGTTTAGGGATTCCCCCAGTCCTGATCCAGTATTGGAAGCGCTTCCCAGACCCGTCCTCGCCTTCTCCGTGTCCGCAGCTTCCAGGGAATTCCTTCCTCTTCCTCCTGCTCTGGAAGTGCCGCATCCTGGAGGGGAAACCAGCGGGAATTTGGGAATTTGGAGAATTTTGCTGCTTCCCCCACGGCACCGGGTCCCTTCCCCGGGGACGGGGCTCGGGATCTCTCCGGAGATGGATCAGCTCCTGTTTCCCACTGAACTCTGGATCTGGGGCGATTTGGGGTCTGCTTTGTGCTGGAATTGTGAATATCCCGAGAATCTGTGAAATGGGAACGGGGGTTGGAGCCGTGGGGATTTGGGGTCTGCTCTGTGCTGGAATTGTGAATATCCCGAGAATCTGTGAAACGGGAATGGTCGCTGGAGCTGTGGGGATTTGGGGTCTGCTCTGTGCTGGAATTGTGAATATCCCAGGAATCTGTGAAACGGGAATGGTCGCTGGAGCCGTGGGGAAGGAACCGTTCCCATTGGGCCGTGGCGATTTAGGGTCTGCTCTGGAATTGTGAATATCCTGAGAATCTGTGGGACTGGAACGGGGGCTGGAGCCGTGGGGAAGGGGCCGTTCCCACTGGGCCGTGTCCGGGCCCCAGGGATTCGCCTCTGGAATTCCAGCAATGCGGCCGGAGCAGCGGGGGAGCAGCGGGAGACGGCGGCTCCGCGTCCGGCCTTCCCTTCCCAGCCTTCCCGCTGTCCTTCCTTCCTTCCCCGTGTCCGTCTGTCCACCAAAATCCCGGAGTTTTGCCTCAAACAGGTGCTTTTCCTCCCAGCTGCACGCACTGGGAAGAGAATCGTGAAAATGTGACGTCTTTCAGGATCTGTCACAGATCCGCTGTGGGAATCTGGGATCCAGAGGGATCAGAGATCCGTGAAGATCCTGAACCCCCGGAGAAGGGATAATTCCTCCCCCTACTCCTTGGATTTGGTGTTATTTCCCTGTTTTTGCCGTGTTTGGGTGTTTTCCCAGTTTGTGCCAGGTCCTTTCCACCCACCTGGCGCAGAAACCTGGGAACACGCTGGATTTGGCAGAGATTTTAGGGAAAAAATCCTGGAATATGGCAAAGGCAGCCCCGTCCASGCTGGAACAGGCTCTTTTGACCCGGAAAAGCTTCCCAAAGCCCCGTTTTTGGGGAATATTCGGGGGTGCCGCCCCCGGCGCTGCCGCACCCCCGGCGAGGCGGTGCCGGATTTCGGAGCTGCTCATCCCCCCTGGAATGTGGGAACGCCCTGACCCACCTGGAGACCTGCAGCTTCCCAAAAAACAGCAGAAATTCCACCTTTTTAGGCCCAAAGGGAGCCCCGGAGAATCCCGGGGGAGGTTGGGATGCGGGAGGTGAGGATCCTGCCCGGAATTCACCGTGTTATTCCCAAAAATCCCATCCCGGAGCCGAATAAGGGCAAGGAATGAGGAGAATTCCGCGCTCAGGCCTCCCCCGGGAGTGGCAAATGCAGCAAAAGCAACAGAAAACATCCAAAAAAACAACAGCAAAAACATTCCAAGGGGAGGGGAAAACCGGGAATGGGGGAGCGGAGTCGGGATGCGCCAGAGGTGACGGGGATGGGAGACAGCACCACCCAAAATCCTCCTTTTCCCTGATTCCTCGTCATCTTTCTCCATTTTTTGGGAATTTTTCCTAATTTTTCCGCATTTTCCCCCTCAAGTTTTGGTTATTTTCCCCCAAATTTTCCTCATTTTTCCTGTTTTTTCATCATTTCCCACAATTATTTTGTTCATTCCCGCCATTTCTAGTCATCTTTTCCCATTTTTTGGGTCCCATTTCTTGGTATTTTGTTAACTTCCTGATTTTTTGGGTCATTTTCCCAGATTTTCTTGTTATTTCCCATTTTTAGTAACTTTTCCTCTTTTCTGATCATTTTTCACCGTTTTTAGATAATATTTCTCTAGTTTTGGGGCACATTTTTTGGTATTTTAGTCACTTTCCCAGTTTTCTGTTCATTTTYCCCAGTTTTTCCTCAGTTTCCCCTGGATTTTGGTGATTTTTCCCACTACTAAATCCTTTCCCATACATTTCTTCTCATTTTTCCTGATTTTTAAGTGACATTTTCTCATTTTTCACCACTTTCCCAGTTTTTTTCCTGTTTTCCCTGATTTTTGGTCACTTGTGATGGATTTTGAGTCATTTTTTCCTGTTTTTTCCTCCTTTTTTCCTCTTTTTCCTCCTTTTTCCCTCTCCTCCCTTTTCCTGCYGGACAAGCGGCCTCAACGGCGCCTCGTTAATTATGTTAATTATGCAAATGATGTTAATTAACCCCCACTAACGAGCCCAGGGAAACGCCTGGATGAGTTTTTTATTCCCTCTGGAATTTTCTTTCAGCTCCGCCACATTTTAACGGGAATTTGGGAATGCGGGGAGCGAGTTCCTGCCCTAACCCTAATGAGGGCTCGTTAATGACCTCRAATCCCTGGAATTTTGGGGAAAAAGCCCAAAACCCACCCGAGGGGGCTCATTCCCACCTGGAATTCTGGGGTTGGCRTTCCCAGAAACTCCCCTGGGTAGAACCGGTGGAAAACTCCCCAAAATGACCCAAAAATGAGGGATTCTGGGACGCTCCCAAAGGAAAATCCCCATTTGGGGCTTTTTTTGGGATAAATCGTTGTCCCTGAAGATCTCCCGGAAAAAAATCCCGAGGAAGCAAAGCAGGGCAGGATTCCCAGTGGGTCCATGTCCGTAATTAGGGATTTTTCCCTTAAAAAGTTGGGAATGTCCCTTGGGATCATTCACAGACAGATCTCAGCTCCCTCCCAAGGGATTTTTCATCCAAAAGTTGTGGTTTTAAGCAAAACTGGAGGAAAATAGGGAGGAAAATGCATTTTCCAGCTCTGAAATTCCCTATTTTTGGTGTGAAGGAGGAAAATGAGGTGGATTTTCCTCCCTGCCCCTGTTTTCCAGTGGTTTTCCTGGACAAAAAGAGGAAAAGAGGGATAAAAAGAGGGATAGAGCACTTTTCCACCCCCAAAATTCCAAAATCTCGGGGATAAACTCATCTGAAGTCCCAAATTTTGGGGG